AAACTTTTCCTGAAAAGGCCCAGACAATAATTAACTCCAGCTCCGCGGCCAGACAGGCTCGGCCATAAGGGCTCCCTGCTCTTCCTTGTGCAGCAGGGAACGGGGGGGTGCTATCCAAGATTCTGACAAAGCCAGGCAGGGCTGGGCCCCTGGGCTGGACGCCTGAACAACAGCCAGGTCCTCAGGACAAGGGGAGGTGCTGGTCCCTGCTCTGCAGCCGGGGCACCCGAGGTCACATGCGAGCCTCCAGGCTGGGGTTCCGTTCTGCCCCTAGTGCTGGTGGGGAGACAGGGCAGGCAGCCCTGAGTGGGAAAGCGGCAGGTGGCTGACGCCCACCCTCCTGTGAACCAGGACGGCCAACAACAGGGAGGAAACTGCCAGTGTCCACCGCTCACATCCCTTTCAGAGGACTCTCCTGTCTTCCAAGTCGGTGGCAAGCCTATAAAAACGATGCGACGACTCCCCTCAACAATCCCTTTGGGAAAACCACGTGTTCCACAATAAACGTGTTCGTCAACTGTCTCCTCGATAGGTAAGCTCGTCAACACTTGCCCTCCTCCATTCCAGTCAGCCCTGTCTTACCGGTTTAAGGGAAGGACAGTTTTGGAAGCGCCCCGGCAGGAGCAGGTGCACAGGCTCACCTCCTGGAAGAGAGACGACATCTCGCAGACCAGGCAGGAGCCGGGGCTCTGCATCTCGCAGCGGTGCCGGTCTGATAGGAAGAAGTCCCGCAGCAGTGGAGTGTGTGTGAGCGCCTGCACAATGCAGTTCATGAAGCACGTGTTCCCCAGATTGATGAGCCCGCGGAGACCTGGGCGGGCGGACGGGAGCGCGGGTGACTCTCCCACCCCCTCAGAAGCACGAGGAACTGAAGCGTGGCTCTGACTTTCATGCTGCTTCTGTATGAGGTGTCCTGAGGGCCGTCCCCCCACCCCAATTCAGCATCACCGCAGGAGGAAGCGCCCGCAGGTACTAACAACAGGGCCTGACAAGCAACCTCCTTAAAAGTTTCTGAATGCATTTCAAGTCCTAGAAAACCCGGAGAACCTTCTCATCTGCATCTCTGCCCTGAAGATTCCTGCCCACAGCCTCGACTGCCCCCCCCAACGCCCGCCTGCCCACAGCCCACCGATGGTGCAGTTGGAGGTGATCTTCCGCCGCTTGGGGTTGTGTTTCAGCAGCTCCAGCTCCCGCTTGGTCGGCTCCCAGGTGGAAAACTTCTCCCCAACACCTAAGCAGAAGGGAGGTGGTGTCTGCGTCTGAGTCAGGGTGGCGGGATGCAGACCTCGCCAGGCTGCAGCTCAGAGAGGGAGACGTGTGACTTGGGCCCTTCCAGAAACTCCAGTACAGGGCAGCGAGCTCGGCAGCCACCCAAAGGAGCGTCTGTCAGAGACGGTGCCTTGAGTGAGCCGTGCTCCCTGCGAGAAGAGCGGCACTCTGCCAGAGACCCACCACAGACGCAGAGACGCCTGCTTCCTCAGCCTCTGGTCCCCGAGGAGAGAGGGACCAGCACTGCCAGCGCGGCCCCCAAACCAGACCCAGCCACTCTCCCACGCCCCTCCGCTGTCCCTCCCTGGTGCCAGCCCCTTGCCCAGCAAATCTGTCCCGACAGAGGGGACGGGGGTGTGGACTGCAGGACTGAGACGAGTCGGGCGCACAGATCTCAGAGAACCAAACCTTGCATTTTCCAAGCTTTCCGCTGCTCCTCTTTAGCGATGATTTCTATGTCCTTGTCGTAGATGTAGTCCTGACAGAGAAAGCAGTAGATGCCTCCATACACCAGCTCTATGGCTGTGGAGGGGGGGACAGCCTTAATAAAAACCCAAAGGTCACAAATACAACACGCAAGCGCTTTAGACATTTCTGTGTCTGCACCGTTTCTCTAACACAGAATCCTATTGTTATAAAAGGGCTCCCTCCCACATCGGACAGGAAATCCTGAGCAGATGGGTGTGTGTGTTCTCTCTGGAAGCTCCTGCCAAGGGCTGAGGAATCTGAAAGAGAAGGAGGCGCCAGGTCCGCATTTTATGAAGCACCAGATGCCCTGATGCCAGGACCTCCGCCCAGTCTCCGGGACAAGGCAACCCTGCAGGAGCACTTCCAGGGCATGAGCACTTCCAGCACCCAAGCTTTAAGGACGGAGCATGAGGGGACCCAGAGCCGCTCTGCACCCCCGAGCAGGTCCTGCACTTTCTCAGCCTCATCCTGGATGAAACAGGGATGATGCCTGAGAAAGGAGCTACTGCCGTTCAACAACTGAGACAGAACTGCTGCGGCTCAGAGTCCCCAAGCAGCGCAAGGCGTCTGCAAGGCAGAGCAGCCTGGAGGAGGCACCCCAGACCTAGAGCAACAGGTGGGATGGCGCCCCCCAAACCCCGGGGCGTGCACCTCCATCCTGCACTCCACTCCCCGGGGTGACGATGACAGGACCAGCACTGCCGCCTCACGGTCGGTCTGTGCGACAACCAAACAAATACACACAACTACGTCCCACAAGCCTCCCAGTGGACAGTGACGTCTTAGTAAATCACAGCCTTTATCGCACTTCACGTCTTAATTTACCAAGACACAGACCAGTGATACTGTGGTGCATCTTGAAAGCCCTCTAACACAGAGCTACCAAAACTCAGAACGCAGGTTAAGAACCCCGCCCCGCTTCCTGCCCTCCCAAAAAAGGAACACCCCACCAACCGTGTAAGTCACGTCACGGGTATTCACAGGCCCACTGCAGGAGGCACAGGGACCAAGGAGAGACCTGGCCAAACGGCTTGCAGTGAGGGTGAGAGAAACTTCAGGAAGGCAGAGACACCACCCGCCAACAGCAGGGCCACCAGCCCAGAAGACCACATGCCACATTCTCCCAGACAAGCGGCTTCCGACACTCAGACCACCAAGTGGGGCCCCCACGCACGCCAGCTCACTCGGGGAGCCCAGCCCTCAGCCGGCCGGTGCACGCAGGGTGCCTCCCTACCACCACCTGAGCCCCCAGTGCTGAAGCTGTCACGCCCTCGGGAGAGGACGGAGTGGAGCACATCCCACCCCCACCACTGTGAGGGCCGGGTCCCATGACACACGCTCCAGAAAAGGTTCTGCGGCTGGACCTCTTGAAAGTGGTTTTCCTCTGGACGCCTAAGGCCCTCACCACCATTAACAGAAAACACTGCTCTCAAGGAGCGACCCACCAGTGACCACTCACAAAATAAGGCCAAGAGCAAAACAGCTCCACCTAACGTCCAGAGGGCACAGCCGTCCGAAGGCATGAGGGTATGAAATCCACCTTTACCTTGACGCCCTGTCGCTGGCCTTCCCACAAACCCTGAGCACGGTGAAACCCGTGGCGGGAAGCAGTCAACTCAGCCAGGGACACCCAACCATAGCCCACGCCAAGGGCTCAGTGCTGCACTGAACACCTTTCTCTGCGAGTTTCTGCCTCACCTAATCCATAACCAAGCTTCTCAGAGGGAAGGACGAGTGTCTCATCTTCCGTTAAAAATAAAGCACTCTGCACACACAGTTACCCTCACGGTCACAGGTGGCACCAGCACCAGCCTAAAACCCTAAGGCGGGCAGGGCAGAGACCCAGCGAGCTGCTTCCCTCGTCTGCCTGGAGTCCTGCAGGACATACTGCTTCATAAAAGTGGGCTCTGGAAGAGGGGACGTCAAACTCAAAGGAGGAGGTGGTGCGGAGACCCTGAGGCCCAGGGGCATCTGGGGCCTTACCCAGGTTGTGTCTCTTCGCCTTGGCGTGCTCATGGATGTGCTTCTTCGTGAAACAGCCAAAAAAGACACAGTGCAGGCAGGAGTGCAGCCTGTTCAGGTGGACGCCACACACGTGACAGACGCACGACTTCGCCTGCAATTCAGTGAAGACAGTCAGAAATCAGGAGTTCTCAGAAAGACTGTGACTGGGGTCCCGACAGCACCGCCGGGGTTGGGTG